TTTTGTAAAAAAATAAAATGCATTTTAGAAAGAGGATTGAATATTTAAAACAAAACGCTGTCAAATTGTCAACCAAGGTTCCAATTTCCAATTAAAGTTAGGGCTATTTTATTATTTTTCATGTTGGAAATTGTTGAAAGCGTCCGACACTAGATCAATGCTCGAACACTTGGCACATAGCCACTTGTGCTTAATTATTATAAAAAGGAATAACACAACAAAGTGTGCCCTACAATAAAGGAAGAAAAAAAGCAAAATGGATATACGTACGTTTCAATATTATTTATAAATATAATAAAAAAAAGTTAAAAGGAGAAAAGTACTGTAGTTAGAGAATCCTAAATGGGGGATTTTATACTTTTTGAATACACATTTTGACTCTAAAACCTTGGTATAATATTGCGTTTTCATATAGGTCATCATAGATAAATACAATTGTGTATCATAATGAAAAATAAACTTAGGCTTACATCTATGCACTATAAAAAAGAAAAAGGTGGTAATAGAAAGACGAGTTAATTCCCCTATATTGTACTTGTATATATAGGTACTCCATAACGACGCTTTACATCAAGTTCGTTTGTGAAAAACTAAAACTTTCACAAAAATAAGCAATTAATGGGAAAAAAATTAAAATTGAATGAAACAAATTAAATTGAATAGCAAAAATAATTTTCATTTTTAATTTGTATTAAAAAGCATGACAATTAAATTTAGACTAAAATATATTTGTAATTCTTATAAAATGAAATTTTTTTTATTTTGATTCATGTATTTTTTTCTCTATCTTTCATCCTTTGAAAATTTATAATTTTCTTTTATCTTTGTAAAACATTTTTTTTCTTAAAAAATTAGTAAACTTGGATTTTGGTCCCGATGAAAATATTTTTCTTTAATTTTTATCTCTCTAAAATCTAAAATCATTATTTTTAGTTTCTAACTTAATGATGATTTTAAATATATAAAGAATATTTGTTTCAAGGAACTACAAAATTTTTTTAAAGTGTTACACACTAACATAATATTAGTGATAGTTGTGAATAACACTTAAAATAACCATTTAACCTTTTTAACGAACAAATAAGTAATTAGAAATTATTACATAATAATGAAAATGAAAAATAATAATTTTATATTTTTGGAGAATAAAAAATAAATAATTTTTTTACAAAAATTAAAATTAAAATTTACTTATTTTATACGAATTAAAACATATTTAAACCTTAAATTTGTAATTAATGTTTAAGAAATTAATGATTGGCCTATAACTTTAAATGCAATCATCATAATGAAAGATGTTATTTAATTGCCACCATTAAGTTATATTTAGGTTAGAAGCTCAAGTTGAAAAATAAGAGAACATTGTAATTCAATTACAATTAAAGTGTGACAAAACGCTATTTTCACCACATAACCAATATTAATTTTGCACGAATATAATCCTTCAAAGAAAAAGGAGCTAGATTCTTATAAATCATTATCCCAATTAAGAAAAAAGCATGCATCTAATTATAAGTTGCTTGTTAACTGTTTATTTAAATTAAAATGTTTTCTATTTTTTATATTTAAAATGGTAAATAGGGAATCACATCTCTAAAACTATCACTAGGAAGCTAATGACATGTAGAATATTTTCATATGAAACTCTATTGTCTACTTAGATGTTAATAGAAACTCAATATTATTCAATCTGAATCAAATTTGCTTAGAAGAATAATTTCATCCCTAATAGCAAAAGATCTCCTTTGAATAGATATATCCACCAAAATCAAATTTTAATGATCACAAAAAGTATTAAATATATGTTATAAAAAATACAAATTCATACTTAATCTCATATTATTTGTGTCAATCCACGAAAACAGATATAATGTCTTCTATCTTTGTCTCTTACTTGTAGGCAACATTTTAATCCATTTCAACATAAAAACTTGGACACGTAGCGTCAAAATATAATCTGAATATTTGGTCGAAGGAGTTTTAGAATATTATATCTCATTTCAAATCTTCTCAAGCTAGCTTCTAGTTAGGGGTGGGCAAAAAAAACTAAACTGAGCTGAACTGAACTGAACTGGTGGTGAACTGTACTATAAAAAACTGAACTGTTTATAAAAAAAATTGAACTGAACTGTTTAAAAAAAATTGAACTGAACTGAACTGTTGTAAAGTTGAACTGTACTGAACTATAAAAACTGAACTGAATTATAAAAATTGAACTATTTTTATAAAAGAATAAAAATTAAATGTGTTTAACATGTTATGTCTTAATAGATTAGCTCGATAGTCTAATAACCAAAACTTTAGAAAAAAAGTGATTTGAAAAAAAATTATATCAATTTTGTTAAACTTAACGGATCAATTGAGCTATGTTGAACTACTTATTTTTAGGCTTAAAATTCACTGAGTTTGTTTGACTTAATTTTATATTTTTTTTCCTTTGAAAAATTTAAATAAAATGGAAAATAAAGTAAAGTTGACAAATGTGTCCTATTTTGATAGATCAATGAGTCAAAATTGTTCAATTCAAAATATCATAACAGTTTAGTGCAGTTTAAATTGCAGTTCAGTTCAAGTTTTTATAGTATAGTTCAGTTCAGTTCAATGACACAAAAGAATAGTTCAGTTCAGTTCGTCTGAACTAATATTTAGTTTAGTTCAGTTCATATGAACTACTTTTAAGTTCAGTATAGTTTTTATAAGTTCAGTTCAGTTCAGTTCGTTTTGTCCACCCCTACTTCTAGTGATCAGACACCATCTGTCAGGTGGAACATATATATGGCGAATAATGAGAATATCTTCATGTGTTTTTGAGTATATTATTCGTCCTTTCTAGTTAATTTCTACCCCTTCAATTTAACAAAAATTTAAAGTCCTAACCTTATTAATTAACCTTATATGTATTTAATAAAATAATTTAACATTTTCTTATCATTGGAAGACATTAATTGCCACAAATATAATTGTGAAAGTAATTCTTCAAATTGCGCTGATCATTAGATAAGTTCATCTTCAAAATAGCAATTATATGAGTTCATCTTCAAAATAGCAATTATATGCATGATTTTTTTAACTTTTCTAACTTTATAGATAATAATTTAAATTATAATATTTCAAGTCAAGTTTTTTAGAAATAACTTATAACAACCATGCAACAAGTTTTAAACTATATATCTATGAATTGAGTAAAAATACTCGGTTCTGTCCATAACCTTTATCTGTTACGGGATTACAGTAACAAAAAAGAAGATAAAATTGACTCACCTACCTCAACTAGTTAATTGAAAGAAAAAGGTTTAAAAGAAGTTCCCTTTCAGTGATAATGACTCTATACTATAGCCAGTGCCTTTTATGGGAAAGACGACACCAATCTCAGCCACTACTTCTATGGATGAATCGGTATTTGACACATAGAAAGTCATTGGGGGAACCATGCTTTCTTAAACTTTTTCTCTCAAAAAACAGATACCCTTTAAAGAGAGTCCAAGTTAAACGAGCTACAAATTAAGGTCTTTATTATTTTTATTTTTGGTGATTATCCTACCTACATAAAAGAATTTTCATGTGTTTTTTTATTCCAAAATAGGTTTGGTGTCCTACCCCATATCTTCTACAGTCAAATTAGGGTGTAGGGTTATGTATCACATTGTTTCTTCTTTTTACTATTTTTTTTTTCGATCAGTACATATAATTGAAGATATTTTATTTAGTGGTAGCATGTTGTTTAGTTAACAGTCAAAAAGCAAAAAACAAAAGTAGAGAGCTCAAAGTAGCTAGAAGAGATAATAAGATATTTCAAGTTGTATCTGTTAATAATTTTTGGCTAGAAAGGGTAAGAAAAAGATCGAAAATTGATTTTTTTTTAATATTACATTGATCAACTTCTCTTCAAATTCATAAGTATATTCTGTACCAAAAAAATCATATTTATATTCAATTTTTAATAAATTAATTTCATATTTATTATTATATGCTCTTACACTTGCACATTTTTCTCATTTTAAAAATTGAACATATTTCTCTTTTCTCTTTTTTTTTTTCGATCTCAAGCTGTGTTTCAAACTACTGCAGATAATTGAAATCTATCATATAGTAGTATAATTTTACTTCGCCAGCCTTATTCTCAAGTAATTGCATCAAAAAAAGTTTTCACTTTTAGTTTTTCATTCAGATTTTCGGGTGGCTCTATCCAAAATAAAGTACATTCTGAGTGACTTTGGTTACATAATGAGGAAGGTCATCACTTTATTATCATCTAATAATAAGATTTGTTTAATATTTAAATCACTGCTTAGTCCATTTTTATTTTTCATTTTCATTTAACTTAATCATGAATTGCAGTCTCCTAATAATATAGTTACAGCTTATTTTAAGTATCTGATTATTATAATTTTTAAAAATATGCTTTTAATTTAAAATATATTTTTTCTCTAGGAATCTAAATGCTCAATCATTATTAAAATATCAATTTCTGTTGTTCCAACTATATAGAACCGTAAAACAAAACAAATCCCCAAGTTATAGCAGAACATGTCTTGACTGATATAAGTCTTGGCATGCAACTATATATAAATTAAAAAGATATACCGATTTAGTTTATACCATAGTAAAAAAGAAGACATACAATAATAGAGAGGAAGCAGAAAAGGCATTATGCATTTTCATACTTTGAGGACAAGTGGATATTATGAAATCGGATATTGGGTCCCCCAACCATGTATTGATTATTAGTATTATTACAACCCTTTTCCCCCAAACTTTAAAAATCTCCATTACTTTTTTCACAGAAAAGATAAGGAATCAAAGAAATGCCCTCCACACACGTGGCCGTGTTGAATGCAATACCGTTATATCCATCCATCCATCCATCCATCAACATTCAACACCAATACATTTCCCGTTGCAAAGGTTAATTGAAAACAAACCAAAAAAGGAAAAAAAATAGGGCAACCCAAAACCCATGTTTTTTAGTATTATTCTCTTATTTGAGCTAGCCATAGCAATAGCAATAGCATAGCCAACACAACAAAGCAATAACATGGTTGAACAGCACACAACAGTAGTGACAGCAACACCAAAACAGTAGCATCAGATCATGGTGCCCTCTCTTCCTAAGACTATATATTGTGTTATCATTCAATCACATCCTTGTGCGCTACCTTCTCGTGCCTTCCTCACTTTATACACCTGTTCTCTCATGTGACTCTCACTCTACCTTTCAATTCTTTCTCCTCCTTCACCTATCTCTCTGTTGCCCCTTAATTCTTCACACACACATCATAGTTAGTAGTAAACTCTTCCTTCTCATTAGTATTTTCTAGTTCTGGTTCTATTACACACAATAATCTTAGTGTATCACCAATCTCTGAGATGATGCCCCCTGAGCAAGAAACCACTAATATTGCACCAAACATTCCAGCCATCACAACCCGATCCGAGTCCAGCTCGGTCCACCACGAACCAGAGGGTTCTAACACTAACAAAATCAAACCAAGTTTGGATGATAATGGCAATATTCCTGCACAGCATCAGACTCAGCCAACAACACCTCCACCACCAAGATTTTCCGTCCTTCACCAAGCCTTGCGTCCCATTACCCTCAAAGTAAGTACTTATAAATCTTCTCTCTCCTTATATATCTTACTTCCTGTTTAGATTGACAAAACAATTTCATTTTTACCATCTATGTTCATGCATAATCCAAATTTTTGCACTTTTTTTATTATATATATATATATATATATGTGTATGTATGTATGTATGTATTCGTATAAACTAAGCATCATAAAACTAATAAAATGTTATTTTCACATATATATATACCGTACGTATCGATCTTATTTCTAATCAAAACTATTTGCATGATGGGTTATTATAACCTTTTAAAAGCCATACATGATGAGATGAGAATATTTTTAATTTTTTCTATACAATGGTGACAATAAAGACTAAACTAACCTAAGACTTTGTACATGTACATGTGCACTATTCAAATCTCTCAGCTGCAACCTAGTATACTTTTATATTAGTATTCAATGTATCAAAATAAGAACATGGATCATAAGTTGATACGAAAAACCGAGTTTGTACAAATTGTTGCAAGAAAAATGTTGTAAAAAGAACGTTTCTCTAATTAGTTACTGTTTTGTGTTACAGTTTGAAGACGTATCCTACAGCATAACCTTCGAAAGCCAAAAGAACAAGGGTTGCGTCTTACGTAAAGAGTCAAAGCTAAGAAGAAAGGTGCTAACCGGCGTTACCGGAGTAGCGAACCCCGGCGAGTTAACGGCAATGCTGGGCCCCTCCGGGAGCGGGAAGACGACCCTCCTAACCGCCTTAGCGGGGAGGCTCGCCGGGAAAGTCTCCGGCACCATAACCTACAACGGCCGCACCGACGCCACCTTGGTGAAGCGAAAAGTAGGGTTCGTAACGCAAGACGACGTTCTCTACCCTCACCTCACGGTGCTCGAGACCCTCACCTACGCGGCGTTGCTGAGGCTTCCGAAGAGCTTAAGCAGAGAGGAGAAGGTGGAGCACGCCGAGATGGTGCTGGCGGAGCTCGGCCTCACGCGGTGCCGCAACAGCCCCGTCGGAGGCTGCATGGCGCTTTTCCGGGGCATTTCGGGTGGGGAACGGAAACGGGTCAGTATCGGGCAGGAGATGTTGGTCAACCCGAGTTTGTTGTTCGTGGATGAGCCCACTTCGGGCTTGGACTCCACCACGGCCCAACTCATCGTGTCGGTGCTCCGTGGGCTCGCTCGGGCGGGTCGGACCGTGGTTACCACTATCCACCAGCCGTCCAGCCGCTTGTATAGAATGTTTGATAAGGTGATTGTCTTGTCTGACGGGTACCCGATTTATAGTGGCCATGCGGGTCGGGTCATGGACTATCTCGGATCCGTTGGGTTTGTCCCAGCTTTCAATTTCATGAACCCGGCAGATTTCCTACTTGACCTTGCTAATGGTAAGTTACTAAGTAGTGTTACACAATTAACAATTAAACATAGAATATGGACAAAATTTATATACATGATTGATATATTTTATGTCATTTTTTAATATAAAGCTAATTAATGATATAAAACTTTGATTCTAATTAGAGAAAAGTAAAAATAGTATTAAATTTGTCTTTGAAATGTGTTTAAATTTATTTTGATATTTAGTATAATGAGAAGGGGGTATGTGTTTAAATTAATGTAAGCCACGAATTTTAATATATAGTATGGTGAGGGGAATTTATTTTGTGAGTTTGTCAATGGGGCACTAAGCATGGCTTTATGACTTTGGAACCTGAATGGACGCTATTTTGGTTTTGTGATGGGAAAGAAAAGTTTGGGATTTTGTGCATGTCAACTTCAGAACACAAGATTGACTATCGAGATTTTACACTTGTCGTTAATTGGGTAGGTGAGGGTTCGTTTTCGGGTTTTAAATAATGGAGGTGCGTAAAGATTGAGGGTTTTAATCTGAACCCATGAACCTTGTTCTCATGGCAGCAACAGCTAGTAACGATAATGGGTCATTCATTAGAACCAGTAAATTGATAAGATACCATAACGAAAGTTGTTCACCCCTGTTGGACCAGTAACGCAACATGTGAGTTTTCTTTTGTGTTGGCATAGATCGACACAAGACAAACTTTATGTAATTAATGTTAAAGGTGTTTGGAATGGTCCGATTCTCATGGTGGTCAGATAAAGTTTTCTGAAAGATACAGGTGTCATTGATTGCCTTTGATTTACAGTGAGATCTTTTTGCATGTATTTCCATGCATCAATTATCAACAACTTAACAATGAAGTCTTTCTTACAGTGTGTTACTGGTCATGTTACAATAATTAGAAGTCCATTCTACTTTAATTCTAAAATAAGATGATGAATTAAACTGAATTCCCAAGAATTGCACAAGGAATTTGAAGCACGGAAATAGTGATGATTAGTCCTTTGATGTCTTGTTATATTTGGTCACATAAGTAAAAAAAAAAAAATTTAAAAATGGTTGATTTGCTTTGAATTTGTTGAGATACATGCTGAAGAGCGTTCTAATACTTTAGATTCTGTGGTGGCAGGCATTGTTGCTGATGTCAAACATGATGATCAGATTGACCACCATGAGGATCAAGCTTCAGTCAAACAATCTTTAATTTCATCCTTTAAGAAGAACTTATATCCTGCTCTTAAAGAAGACATTCAGCAAAATAACAGTGACCTGCAGGCTTTTACATCAGGAACAACTAGACGTAAGTGAAATTTTCTCGGTCTCTTGATGTTCAACACAGTTTGTTATGCATAACACCATGGCTAAAATGATCATCATTTATGTCTGTAGGCTCTGATAACCAATGGACCACCAGCTGGTGGGAGCAATTCAAGGTGCTTCTTAAGAGGGGTTTACAAGAGAGGAGGCATGAATCTTTTTCTGGCTTAAGAATTTTCCAAGTCTTGTCTGTATCGATTCTCTCAGGACTTCTGTGGTGGCACTCTGATCCTTCACATGTACAAGATCAGGTATTTATGAACCTATATTCTGTTTTTTTGGATGAAAATTCAATGATGCATCTGATCATTTTTCATGAGTTATATATAGCCTGTTTACAAATTTAGAAGAATTTTAGAAGATTTCTCTACTTTAAAAAAATACTTTTTATATTCAGTAGAAAAGCTCTAAAAAACTGCTATAAATTTATGTCCAAACATACTTGGTCAAATCCTGGTTAATTTGCATTGAATACTCAAAAATCGAAAGTGGTATATTTATTTTGCGGTAGTAGTAGTACTTATGAGTTATATTGTTATAACAACATAACCCTTGTAACAGGTTGGACTCCTTTTCTTCTTCTCCATCTTCTGGGGATTCTTCCCTCTCTTCAATGCCATCTTTGCATTCCCTCTGGAAAGGCCAATGCTAATAAAAGAAAGATCATCAGGGATGTATCAACTCTCTTCATACTATGTTGCAAGGATGGTGGGGGACTTACCAATGGAGCTAGTGCTTCCTACTATCTTTGTAACAATATCCTACTGGATGGGAGGTCTCAAGCCTTCATTGGTTACATTTGTGTTAACCCTCTTGATCATGCTTTTTAATGTGCTGGTCTCTCAAGGCATAGGCCTAGCACTTGGGGCCATTCTCATGGATGTGAAGCAGGCCACAACTCTAGCTTCAGTGACCATGTTGGTGTTTCTCTTGGCTGGTGGTTACTACATTCAGCAAATTCCTGCTTTTATAGCTTGGTTGAAGTACATCTCTTTTAGTCACTACTGCTATAAGCTACTGGTAGGAGTTCAGTATTCAGCAAATGAGGTATATGAGTGTGGACCAGGGTTGCATTGTAGGGTAAGAGATTTTCCTGCCATAAAGTGTTTGGGGCTTGATGGTAACATGTGGGGAGATGTGGCTGCATTGTCTATAATGTTGATTGGATATAGAGTTGTGGCATATCTAGCTTTGAGGATGGGGCAGCCTCACTGACTAAGACTTAAGATGACCATGTTATTAATTTTTAAGTTTGGTTGTTTGAATCACCACCTGTTATAATGTGGTAATTCGATTCAAATTGTAAGGTGAATATTTTAAGTTCTTGTGATTAATTGACATAAAATGAAGCGATCAAAATTTGTTGAGTATAGTCCAATTTTTTATGGAGAACAACCAATGGTACCAATTAGACTCCATCTAGTATTTTAGTTATCAAGAGGGCAATGGTTTATTGATGGCTTCGAGAGGTGATTTTGGATCTTCATGACACAATTATCGTTGCAAGTTGGAACATATTACGAAGTAATTAAATGCGTATTATTCCCTCAGCAATATGTATTTTGCGTTGTTTATCTATCAGACTAGCACACTATTGTTCATTCTTTTTATTATTTTATCATTTCATCACTTGCATGGATTCATTCAACGATTATATTCTTAAAGTGAAATTGCAAAACCAGTCTAATTAATTGAAAATTTCTGCACACCGTATCCTGTATTTGAGTAGACTCCTTACCACGATTCTGTGGGACTGGTTTTCATGAAAAAAATATATCAAGATTTTGTGAGGCTGATTTTGATGAAACAAAATAGTAATACACATTGTACTAAAGGCATGCTAATTAGTTTTAGATGTGCAAAATAAAAATTGAATTATTGGTAATAATATTTCCAGTTTTGATCCATTTAGTTGCTCAGTTAATGATTTAAAAAGAAAAAAGGTTAATCAGTTGGTGACTTACTTAACTGCTTGAGAGTTTAATTGTTCATAAGCTACGAATATTTTTATCCATAATTTATTTTTGTAACGTTTTTAAAATAAATATGTTCTGTCATGTCTGACACTACACTAAGAAACCCTTCATCCTGTAAAGTTTAATCTATTATAAAAATGCTCAGATAAAGCCTTTTATGTATATCCTGTGACAAGTGAATGATCCGCCCAATTTCGGACCTCCTTAATCACAAATTCCATGTAATTGCCATCTCCCGAAAGGGATGCAGACATATTAGAGAGAAGAAATGTTCTCTCACTAACATAAATACTCACCTACGTATAAGGTATAAGATGTGTTTGATGGACATTACAAGTACATCAACATAGTGCAAGTTAATTATAGCGTAGTTTTTTGTGTTTTAGCTGTGTGATACAACACTAGTAATTTTCGAGGTTGAAAAGGGAAAGACGTATAGAATAAACAAAGTTGAATAATAAATAGAATATGAAATGTGCGCCAGACGATGATGAGTTAAATATCAGATGAAGGTGTGTCAAGAACAAAGGGAAAGAGGTATAGAGGAGTAAAGTTGAGAAAGAGAAAAGGGGCTTGAAAATGAGGATTATCTGGTTTAATTCTGTAACAAATTTTAAGGCTTATTTTATATTTCAACTTTTACTTTATTCTGTCTCAACCATTTTTAAAACCAAACACAGAAACATAACAAGTATTTTAGTAATGTCCCGTCCTTCATAGTTTAGCAAAGCAAACAAAATCAATTCATTGACAAATAACATAAGTTCCAAGTTCCAACAGTTAATTTATTTGTTCCCACTTCTTAGACTATGACATGCACGAACTATTTTGTTGTTCCCTTTACTTTTGTTTTGTAACACTGAAAAGAATCCATTATCTGTATATATCCTATAAACTGGAAAGGCCTATCACTGTTATCTACCAAAGAAGAAAAGAAAGATGTAGTTGTCAGAACAAGAAAAATACGAGTCTTCAAGAGGGCTTCAGTTAAGCAGCATATGAATCATGCATGCCTCAACAAATTGTAAAACCATAATGTAGAATATGAATCCAATAATATCTTCAAATATGCCTAAGGTAAAAGCATCAGATGCAGCGGCATCCCTCCATCAATCCACAGTTTGGTTTATTCTATTCTCCCAAGATGGTGGCAATTTGGTGTCATAGGCATATGCTGAAATTCAACTATAAATGGATCTTTGTTGTAGTGTTAAAACCTGTGGCTAGGATAAGCGTTTCCTTGAGTAGAAGAGTACTGTAAAATGGCATCACTCAAAGCTGAGAAACCTGCTGAAAAATCATGTTGCTCTTCAGGGCAGGTGAAGAAAGAGTCTGCTGCCAAACCTAGTTCAGGAACTCCAAAAGCCCCAGCCTCCAAACCAGCTCCAAAGAAAACCTCAAGCCAGGTTAAGAAGAAGGTATATATATACGTGCATATAAACTATTATTTTTAAGTTCATTTCATATATTTCAGAGTTCTTGAGATGCACAAAAATTGTTTTCGTGTCACACAAACCATGCATGAACATGACTAAAATTTGTCTTTTGAATTGTTTTCCAGGCAAGCAGCAATAAATAAGCCGAAGATGTGTAGTGAAATGTATGACCAGAAAGAATAGTTGTTGGACTTGGAATTATGGGAAGAGTCCATAAGGATAGTGTTATATGGTGCTCTTCAACCAAGTTTATTATCAGTACTTGTATGTATGGTCTATGTTACTTGCTTCTGTTACTTGTAGCCTTGCCATGCAACTCCAAGCTGCCTTGGCCTAATAAATAAATAAATAATCCTTACTTGATGATGACACTGTTAAGACAGTAATTTTCATTTGAAAAAGGTTAAACATACATCCTAATTTTGAGGCATATAGGTGCAAGCAAGAAAGAGACATATATAGAGGGGAAAAATAATTGCAAACTAGATATCAATCCGCATGATGTATGGGTAAATAAATAAATAATTATTTAAACTAATGATATTTAAAAATATATTGAAATATATTATTTTATTAATTGATTTATTATTTTAGATATAATTTTTTAAAATCATGTGATGTAATCTTAATAAATCTTATGATTTTCATATTTAATCTCTCTATCATGATAATTTTTTAAAGAGATTAGTCTTTTTTATAAAATCTTGATTGAATACATATTAGTAGAATTATTCTTGTTTCTATTTTATTTTTCTTCTAAAGTATTTTTTTTGTAAAATATATATTATTTTTTATTTGATAAAGTGTAAGAAAAACTTAAATCACTTTTATATTATTTTTTAAGTAACTTTTTTTTCATCATTTTGTATATTATTATGTCTTTGACTTCAAATTTATCTTTAAGTTAAGTTTGTATGTATACAAAGTTAAAGATATAAATTTGAAGTTAAAATCATATAAACTTACATGTATACATATATATATATATATATATATATATATAACTAATTTCAAAGAGAATAAGATTGAATTTAAAGACTAATAAAAACATATACAAATTAATTGTAATGCAATTCTATTAATAATTTTTAAATATTTTATTTTACATATTACAATTAAAAGTTGTACTATTATGCATTTTAATTTTTTTTTAGCATTTATTAGAATGTTACCAGAGTGTGTATTCTACAACTAAATTATAAGAAAATTTGTGTCAACATTTTATTAAAATAAAAAAATGGATATTATCATCACTTGTATGAGTTATAAATTATTTCAAATATTTAATACTGTGTGCAATTTTTTTTACATGTATAAAACTATTTTTTTTTATAGTTTTGACCAAAAGTTTGTTGATATGCTATTGTAAATTAATAATATTTTTTAAGAACAAATTAATAATATTACATACTACTATTTTTTATGAAGATAATTTAATAAATTTAGTCTCTTAATTACAATGTAATTACTCAATATTAATTGTATTGATTAATATGTATAACTATCGATCAAAAATAATTATAAATAACATTATATAACTACTATACATGACATAATTATTTGATTGAAGGTTAATTAATTTTGAATATTCAAAATAATAAAAAGTATATATCTTAACCCTCAAATGGAAAAGAAATATAAAAAATATAAGTGACGTAAGGGAAAAAAAAGATAAAATAAAAAATTAAGAGAGAGAGGGAGAGAGAAGAAATAAAAAATAATGACTAATATGTTATATTGATAGAGACATAAAAAAAATATTATTAAAGTGTATATGAGTGATATATGAAACAAGAGAAGAGAAAAATATAGATTAATAAAATAATGGTTATTTATTAAAAATATAACAACTAAAAAAATAAAACATGATCATTGTTGGAAGTGAATGAACATTGGAGAGGGATGTTCTAAACTCTTTTATCTACAATTAGATTGAGCATGTAAAGTTCTATTATATGTTATTGCCTTTTAATTTTAAAAACCTAAAATACATAATTAACAAAATTGAATCAACACACAGTAATTCAAACATATTTGTATATTTTTTATTTGAATTAAAATTGGCATAATTTGTAAAACTCAAGAACATGATATAAACTCATATAAGTTTTATTATATCCAACCACTATCTTTCTCACAATATGATAAATTAAAATATTTCTTGTTTAATTTGTTAATCCACTTAGTTCCTCCTTGTATTTTAATGCATAACTTCTCATATAAGATTGGACTTAACCTCATAACAAATAAAATGATTAAAGCATAAAAAGAGAGAGAGAAAAAGAAAAAGAAAAGGTGATGAATAAAATGAAAGATAAATGTATGGCTCATATGGGTGATGATCAAATAAGGAGAAAGAGATACTCGACAGAATATATATGAACTGATTGAATAAAAAGAAAGAAATTATTTAAAGAATAATATAAATAATTTTTAATGAGAGTTTAATAATGAATAAAAGACATTCATTTCCATTATTTCGGTTGAAAAGTATTAGCCTCCATATAATAAAAAAAAACAAATAAATAAAAGTGTAGCAAATTGTGAAATAAAAGAAACATGTCACATAAACAAAATTGTTAATGTGAAAGAACTTAAAATCTCTAGAAATTTGAAATGACAACATCATAGCTTGTAACTCAGTCTTATATTATAAATAGAAGATAGATAAATAGATATGACAAGAAATGAAAGAGAAATAAGAAAAAGATAAAAATCTAAATTACATCATTTTACTCTTGTGTGCTAATTGACTAACATGGACAATAACTCTAAAGTAGTAAAGAAATATAAGATATAAAATATGATAACAGGATGTTTTGAGTATTAGAGTCATGGACCCTCGATATAAAATTCACTATTTATACTACTTGGCCATCTATCTTTTTTTGAGTTATAACATAAAATTATATTATATATATATATATATAATATTATTGCATGAGTTAATTATTTTTCAAAATCTATTTATAATATAAAAGTTGAACTATTTTGCGTTATGTTGACACCTCATCCTAAAATATATCTGAAATATTGTCATTTTAGTAAAAATATTTACATGTCATTCTATAGTGTTTCTTTTATTTTAATATATATTTTCATAATCACAAATCATATATCATTATATTTAAAAATCCTAATTATTTGGATTAAGGAGCTCAACAGTCATCATTCTCCTCCACTTGCAATAACTCACGCTTTTTCTCATTCCATATCCATTATTCTTTGTTGAAGTAAAAAATCAATGGCAACATTTTCACTATATATGTGCGAAGGTCACACCCAATTCAATTGATTTATACATTAAAGTGAAAATCGCAATAGTTGCTCCTTTGTCGCATGCGCACAATGGCTGCACATTCGTTGCATAAGCACAACTATCACACCCAATTCAATTGTTTTTTTCGTTGAAGCAAAATTTGTGATAGTCGTGCCCCACCCTCTCCATGACCATCCCCAAATCCTCCAAATCTTCACCTTTAATAGTTGTGACGTCTCTCTTAAAGCCAAATCTTTCGCAAATCCTAAAGGTAAGGTTAAATATAAAATTTTTGGCTTTGAATTTGTATACTAATATATTTAGTATTGATGAAATGTTGCTTGAAATTTGAAGAATGAAGACCAATGATTATGTGCTAAGAGTGTACCTAGCTAATACTTCGTCTTTGTGGAAACCCTCTAATCCACCTAAGCGGCAGAAAGGATCGGAGAATGTTAATGAAGAATGAAAGATAGTTCAATTTAATAAAAATCATTCACCTAACTTTCATAAGAATATTTCTTAACCAACATTGTATAAGGTTTCAGATGGTTGATAATATTACTAAATTATTGATGGTATTTAAGCCAGAGAAGCTCTATATAGTAGACACTGTCATAGAAAAAGGTAAGTGTGATTTTTTCTTATATCCTTTAATACTCTTTTAGTTAAGATAGAAAATTCATTAACATAATAAATCAAAATTTAATCATTTTTTTTACTTAATTAGCCAAACTAAATCTCTTTGTTGGATTTCTCATAAATTTATATATTATATCTCTTTATATTGTTCTTCACCATCACTTTCATATTGAATTCTTATCTCTATTATAATGTCAATGACACTCAATGATGATTCTCCAATATGCAATGGCGCTGAAATTGAGATTAAAGTCTTTTTATAATTTATACAAATAATATCTTTTTATTTTAATTTCATTCTATATAGAATTGAAAATCAGAATTTTTGGATTTATAATAAGTTAAACTCCTCATATTTTTGAAAGAAACAAATAATATTTTATAATGAACTTATCATGATTTTATACCCACCATAATTTTCTACCACTTAACTAAACATATTAAAAGTATTCTTAAATCTTATACGTGAATAATGGAAGTTTAATTTAGTTGATCAAATATGGTGCGTGAATATTATAAACTCTTTTAGTATTGTGTTTGATTTTCATGATAAAAAATCCTATGATTTTAAGAAAAATATTGTATTTTTAATAATTATAATTTAAAAATATTGTATTTTTTTTTTACAATTTTAAGCGAAGTAACTATATAAATAAAAAAGAATAATATAATATAGTTAAATTATATTTATAACTTGTAAATTTTAATCAATTAAATTACAAAAATATTTTTTATGGAATTATATATAATTTTAATGAAATAATAATAATCTTTATATCATATATAATCATTAAAAAAATGATATAAAATAAAACAATATTATTTAATTTGTTATTTTCGTGGGCATCAAACATGAAAGCTTATTTTTATCCTATTCTATTCTTATGATCTCACACTCATGAAATATTATATCTTATTCCAACGCACCTTAATTGCTGGTGCATGGTTAAATCTATCCATAAATATACCTACTTCTGGAAGGTTGATGAAGGATAATGTTAGAAAAATTTACTACCGAAAAGTATCTGATGCCAAAGTGTTCCATGCAGGGGTTGGATGATCTCCAAGTGATTGATTCCTATTCCAATGACTCTCCACCATTAATTCACCATCATCAACGTAAGCTTGGATTCGAGTTTCACCCCATTGCTAGTGACTTTAAACTCTTATAAAAGGCAGTGTTTGAGAGCTAGCATGCATAGACCAAAACAACAACAAAAAACCATATAAATATAGTCTTGATTTTTTGGTTCAGATATTTTGAGTAAAAATGGCATCCCTGAAGGCTGACAAACCCGTTGGCACCCAACTTTTTGGGCAGCCTAAAAAGGAAGCTGCTCCTAAAGTTAGTGATGGTGCATCCAAGGCTCCAGCTTCCAAATCAGCTACAAAGAAAGTTCCACAGAAACCCCAAGAATCCAAGAAAAAGGTATCTTATTTTTTTCATATGTAACAGTGACACATTAAATGTGTTACATATTGAGCTTTTATTATGATTCTCTTATGTTATGTGTGCTTAAACATATATATAACTAAATGAAGATTTTGATCTTTGGTTTTGCATAGGGAAAAGGAGGCAAATCATCTGCAAAGCACTAGCCTGCAGCCTTATTTACTGAAGTAAAGTGTGGTTTGTAACAATAAAAAGCCACCAATGTTGGATACAATAACACTTTCTACCTTGTTTTCTTTTTCTAGCCAAGCTATATATCTTGGCCTCCTATATCATCAGCTTGCTCCAGGCTTCATAATATAATCAAAAATAATATTTTGTATGTTAAATTAATCTGTCTCAATTAATGTTATTTTTTTTTAATTTTGATAAAAAAAAACTATCCAGAACCTTAATTTTAGATATGTTATCTATTAATTTACTTGGTCAATAGAAGAATAAGTATATATTAGTCATGATCGTCAATTTTAAAATATTACATTCATAAAATATTACTAATAATTAATCCAAGTTAAAGTTAACATGAAATTTTTCGAAGTTCACTATTTATTAGTTTTAACATGCAGATATAACAACTTTAAGGCTATCTAATATCTGTACTTAGATATTTATTCTTAAAAATGTTAACAGTATATAAATAAAAACATTATTTGATTTCTGAATTATAAAAATGAAGTTAGACGCATAAGTCATCGGTACAATTAAGTGATTTAACACTTATATTTTTTAATTACAAAAAAAATTAATCTTTAATTTTAATATAAAATAATGACTGAAAATATTATTTTTTATATTTAAATAGATAAAGTGAATTATACTTCTTAGTTATTAAAAAAATCAATTATATTTATGTCCTCAAATCAACAAAAGCAACTGTTTTGTTATAATTTTTTTTGGCTAAATTGTATTTTTGTCTTTCTTTTTTAATTTATTTGTAATTTTAATTTTTTTTATTTAAAACTAGAAATATTTAATTCTTTAATTTTAAAAATATGAAATTTTTGTTCTTTTATCAAATTAACATCCGACATCCGTTAATAAGTAAAATTTAATGTTTATTTATATTTAAATAATATAACATTTAATAATATGTCATTCAAAAATTAAAAAATAAGTATATAAATAAAATTTATTAATAAAATAAATATAAACAAAAATATCTTGTTGGTTATTTTTAATTTATATGTTATATCAATAAATATCACGTTATTTGAATAGTGAAATGGAAAATCATCAAAAATAGTTAAAATTTAGTGATCAATGAATATTTAATTAATAATAGATCCAAATTTTTATATTTTAAAAAACGTAAAGATTAAATAATTTTATTTTAAAATAAAAGATCAAATATATTTCTTTTAAAATAAAAAAAATAAAATTAAAAATTGAAAAGAAAAGGACCAAAAGTGTATATATTTTTCTTTTGGTACAATCAACAAATGAGTATGGAAATCAACAAAACTGTCTGTAAGCAACACTAATGTATGCGAAGACTAAAATTTCAGACACGGTAGAAATAAAGAATTATGACTTTTAATTTTGAGATAAGAAAATCAAGTCATTAATGTGATTATAATTGTTACTGTAGTTTATATTTTAAATTTAAAAACTAAATAATCTATAACTCACATAAAGAAATTGGGCCTACAATTGATTGATTTTACTTTTACTATACTTAAGCAGCTATGAACCAGCCCGAACTCATAGCCATCATCAGCTTCCCAAATCTGCGACCAAGTTACTATTAAGCTATAATTTTTTTTTTTTTTTCTTCTCTCCACAATTATCTTTTATTTGGTACTATAATTTTTAAGTATTTATTATAGAAATAAAAAATATCATAATGGTTTATGCTTAAATGATAATATAAAAAATATTATTACGTATTTATAATTTAAATACTTTTTAATAATATTTAATAAAAAATAATAAGATTTAATTACATATTAATGAAAAAATTAATCAAAAATACAATAATACAGATTATATAATAATTTCTCACATTGCCATAGTTATTCAAAGAAAAAAACAATAGATAATGGAGATACTCAACTCCTCAACTATTTTCTTTCTCTTTTTTTTCTTTTTTCTTTTTAGATATCTTTAACGGTTATTTATATTACAAGATTATACCTTCTATTCACAGTTATACCCACTATCAACCAAATTCAATTCCCTAAGATCAGTTAGAGTATCTACAGTGTGGGTTGTTTATAAGCAATCTATTGTGCCACATTAACTCTTTTCCTCTCTCTTTCTTAAATAGACCTTCTACAAGCAATTTTGTTAAAATTTAAGCAACTCATTTTAGCACCTAAATAATGAAAAAAACTTATGTGACATAGTGGGTTGCTTATAAGCAACCAACACTTAGGGGTGTTCGTGGATCGATTTTTTGAAAAAACAGATCCAAACTGAACCGAACCGTTTTATAAAAGTAGATCGGTTAACCGATCCATTTTTTATAAAGTAGATCGGTTTAGTTTTTTTAAAATATGAATCGGTTTTTTTGAAATTAGATCGGTTCGGTGCGGTGCAGTTATCCACTTTTTACTCATACATGGATCGATTTTTTTAAAAAACCGAACCTATCCACTTTGTAAAAATAGATTGGATAACTGAACCGGTTTTATAAAGTGATTCGTTCAGATTTTTTTTTTTAATGGATCAAATTTTTCAATATAGATCAAATTGGTTATAAATCGGTTTGGATCAATTTAGAATTTTTTACACGCTCCTGCCGACGCTGTAAATGCTCTTATCATTTATTTCTTTTTTCTTTTTACTAGGGTCTATCATATTTCTTTCATTTTTGTGAAGGTTATTTTATTCCATTCCATTTAGTCATTGTTATCAGATTATAGATTATATATTATTATAGATAATATAATGACAGTGGCGACCAGTATATTGAGGTACGAAGTAGTAAAGTACTTCAACTCCATCAGTATATTAAAAAATTTAAAAATTAAAAAAAAAATCTCTGATATCATGAATCCATGTGAAACCAAGAAAGTGAGAAACGAATGGCATTCTTTTAAACCATTGATACCAATTCATGGTTTAGTGGGCAAAAATTCACAAACCAACAATCCACAAACCCATCCGCATCGCTTCTGAGCCCATCAGCCCATAGCATTAGAAAAACTGTCAAAAACCTGTACGCTACAGTCTTGCCGCAATAACTTTGTAATACACTTCCTAATTTATTACACAAATTTATAATTCTAATTTCTTACATCAACGAATATTAAGTGAAAATTCCTTTTGTCTATGAAATAAAAATTATTCATCCTTTATGTCATAAACAAATAAAAGCACTTTTCTACTCTTAATTCTAATAAATAAATAATTATTTTAAAATATATTAATCGTTGATTTCATCTTATACACTCGTGTAAGTGGATCTATTTATTGATTTTTATCAAAAATATATATTTTGAAAAATAAAAATATTGGTGGATTTTAAAAATAAAATATAGCCAAAGAAAAATATAAATATAATAATAGTTGAAATAACCTTATCGAATTGTTTTTTTTTCGTTATATTCTTTATTATCTATTAAAGAAATTATAATTTGACTTATTTAATTAAAATATTGATATGATAAATTATTAGGATTAGTTTAGTGATTAAAAGAGAAACAATTAGAGTATAAGGGAGAAGAGTTCAATTTTGTTCCGATCTAAAAAAATGTTTAGAATTTTGTTTATATGTTTAATCAAAATTAAAATATTTAAAAATATAATTTTTTCGTCTTTACTTTAAAAAGTTTTGTATTTTGACATATTATTTTAATCTGCCATAAAAATAAGATTCAATTTAGATTTTTTGGAAATAGATTAATTTCAATTTTTCTTAATAAGTTGATGTCAAATTGTTTAGAGATCAATTTTATTTAGACTTATGTAATAGAAGGAATAATCTACTAATCTTAAGTTATGTCATCTTTGCATAGTCTATATTGGATTTATATCAAATCGGTGAATACATATCATATTTTATCTCATTTTCATAGATTTATATAAAATATTATCCAAAATATTACACTTAATTGTCGACTGATTCCGAACCTAAAAAATATAAGAATTAATTTTAATTAAAAAAATATAAGGATTAATGAAAAAACGTTTAATATGTTTAAACTACGTACACGCAAAAGTTACCAGGAAAATAGTATAAGTTAAAATGAATGCTTTAAATTTGAATTATTGAAACGGTGGGTGAGTCCCAAGTTCCAAAACGTGACACTCGAAACTGTCATCACATTTGTCCAATTGGATAAGATCGAATGATTTCTTCTGGACTCAAACCTTCTACACAGGTGTTCAACCAATAGATATCCACCCTGCATAAGCCAATCTTGCAAGACCTCTTTGTTGTTTTCTTTTGGGTCAAAATCTTCCAAGAAATTTAAATCTTCATATTTCAGTTAATTAACGTGCTTTTAAATAGGAAAAAAATCGTCACTTTTTATATTCGTAATATCTTAATTATATTCAAGAATAATAAAGAGAATATATATATATATATATATAAGAAAAATAGTGTGAAATAATTAATATTTTTAAATATTCTTCTTTCCAACCACCGAAATTCATGTTTTAACATCTTAATTTAAAAGATGTTGAATTTTAATTCTTAGTTTATAAAATCTTAATTTGAAGTTTCAAAACTCAGTACTCTGAATTTAAAATCCATCCAAACTATTTACCTTCATTTTTTTTTTCTCTATGGATAATGCACCGTTTTATTAAACTTCTGGATTCCAATTTGAAGAGAGAGATTTGTGGAAAACACAGTGACCAAACATGACAAGTGTCCTACCACCTGTACACGAAAGCACACATGCACGACCTTGCTGATTGACACGTGTCTGGAATGCACCTTTAGAATCTTTATATATATGCCTTCTCAATAGAACCTCAACAAGCAACAAAGAAATTCTCCACTTGATATATATCAGCAATATCCGTGAGCTTTTAACGACCAAAAATCAGAAGCAACTCTCATAAAATATGGCCACAGTGGGAAGAAACATAGCAGCACCTTTGCTGTTTCTTAACTTGCTCATGTATTTCATAGTTCTCGGCTTCGCTAGTTGGTGCCTCAACAGGTTCATCAATGGCCAAACTTACCACCCTAGTAAGCTTGCACTACCTATTTCACCACCATTCACTAATTTTCCAACTTAACAATGTTTAAATAATAATGGTAACTTTTTATGTGTTTCAGGTTTTGGAGGAAATGGTGCAACCATGTTTTTTTTAATCTTTTCCATACTAGCAGCAGTTCTGGGCATAGTGTCAAAAATTTTGGGTGGAAATCACATGAGGACATGGAGGAGTGATAGTTTATCATCAGCAGGAGCCACATCAATAGTTGCTTGGGCCGTCACTGCTCTAGCCTTTGGGTAAATTAAATTAATTAAATAATGAATAGTTTGGTTTAGTGAAGTGAAAATATGTGATTGATTAATAATGTATTGTTATATATATGGAATAGGTTGGCTTGCAAGCAGATAAACATAGGAGGGCACAGAGGGTGGAGACTGAAGATAGTGGAAGCGTTCATAATCATACTCACATTCACAGAGTTGTTGTACCTGTTGCTGATACATGCAGGGTTATATAGTAGCAGATATGGTCCAGGGTACCGTGACAATGACTATGGTCATGGTCATGGTCATGCTGTGGGAGGGACTACAGGAGATCCAATGCACAAGCCTGCGGGGGTTCCTGCTACTGGAACTCGTGTCTAAATTTCTACTCTTTAATCATGTTCTACTGCTTTACCTTTTAGGACTATGTCTTGTTTTTTTCCCTTTTTTATTTTTTTTACTAGAAGTAATGGCTTTGCATATGAAAAGCCACTTTGTAGCATGACATTGTGGATATGTATGAATGAATGGTTGCAATTGGTTTTGTATTTGCCTCCTTATGTCACTTTCTCTCTTTCTGCTCCCCATTTTGAGACTCGCCTTATTTTGAATTTATGGTAAATGCACAAACGATGAACCTAAATTCAATTCAGTGACTCTTCATTTTGGCTTGTTTGGGGTTTGGTACCTACTACACCCAGAGGATTATATGAAATTAACGTATGATTAAATAATAATATTTTTTAGGATAAAAAGGGGGAAATATATATATATATATTAAATATTATCTCTCATTAAAGAACTATTAGAGTATTAAATGATATAAAATAAGTTTTATATTTAGATATGATAGATAAAAATGATTTGGAGATAATTTATTTCATTTGAATTATTTAAGAGAATTACCTTTTAGAATTTAAAATAATTAATTTCTAATATAAAAGTATGAATATAACAATTAATAATAATAAAAAGTTGATACCTCTAAAACAATTGATATGAATAATATAAATAAAAAGATACATCATTGTCTATACGTAGACATTACGAGAAAAAAAAAACTAAAAAAATATTTATTTATTTTTGGATGAATAGAGATAAATAAAAGCAAAAAATGAAAAAGAAAAAAAAATTATACATGCAAGTAATACATTCCTCTAGCATCAGCCAAGAGCAAACGATGAAGCTCATTAATTAGGTGAGGAATCTAACTCCTGTGTGTCAGAGTTCGAGCTTAACTTAGAAAAAAATCTGTACAAGTACAACTATTTTCTTCCCTTAGCTTTTGTTAAAGTTTGATATTCGAAGACATCTCAAGATATTCTTGATAATATTTTGATAACAGCAGCAAACCTGTGACAAGGTAGATATTGTCACTAAAAAAAAGTTTAAATTAATTCTATTTAAATTCATGAAAATAATTTATGATTAACGGATGTTATTTTTAACTTTGTTTGATAAACATTAGTGTGTTTATTGAGGAAATTTTTAACTTATTTTTAATAAATTTATTATAATCAAATTTTGTAAGATATACTCTCATACTAAAAAAGTATTCAATTTCTTTATATAATCCAAAACCATAAATGATAAATCTCTTCCAATAAATTATAGACAGGCTGAAGGGAAGTGTATACAAATATATAATTAAAAGAGTAGCATAAAACTGTATGAGGCATGAGATTGTCACTTTCTTACTGACACAGTCTCTTATCATAACAGAATAACGAATACTACTACAACAGCTTCATCCAATGTGAATGCACTGTTGTTATTTGACCAAAATCTAATCTTGAAAAAGCAACGGTAAAAGGTTTATTATTTTCAACCTACATAAAATTAAATCTGAATACATAAGTTTAATTAAGTTATTTATTATTTTAGTTCTTAATTCCTAAAATATAAAAATTATTTTAATTTTTTAAATTTTAAATTTATTATTTTAGTTCATGTAATTTTAAAAAATATTGTTTTAATTTTTGTATTTTTTTTCTCAATTTCAAAACTTGTTTTTAAACTCTTGAAGTATATAAAAAAATATATATATTATTTCAACCTTAGTTATTAGAGTAAAGTAGAGTTGTGGTTAATTGATTAGTTCATTTTAGAAGGAAGATTCTTATAAAGCTTTTTTATGAAGAGGCAGGAATATCTCTTTGTTTTCACTCTTTCAAAAGCCTTTAAAGAATAACCAGAGTTTTTTCTCTTCTACCTTTGAAGTCTTCCTTCCTCTTCCTTGTAATTGAACCAATCAATCAACTTGGAGATTTAAAGCTCAGGAATTCTACTCCCCTCTTTTTGTTTCTGGATCGTTAAAAGGTAAGGGCAGCTTGTAGATTAATGTATTTTGTGTTGTATGTGACAATTTCTATGTTATTTGGTCCATTAGTGACATCTATGTTGAGAATGTATGAATCTTACATTGCGAATTTTTGGAATTGTTGAATGTTTGTTAAGTTAAAAGACAACTTTAGACCCCTTGAGTTTATAGTTTTAGTGTTAACAAAACATTTTTATAAGAAAAAATGTCTTGAAAGACGTCTTAAAAAATGACTTTGAAAATGATTACTAGACAAAGTTTAAGAAGCAAATAATCTATAAGACAATGTAAATCAAATGAATCATTCAGTCTGTCTCGTATACATTAAATGTTTATTATTTATTGAGACTAATGACAAAAGTTTCTTTAATGCTTCATTCTTTAACAAATCAAAGTAGAAGATTATCTTGGAACTCACAAATCTACTAAAGAGAACAAAATTATACTTTTCTTCAAGACTAGTGACAAACTGACAAAAATCTCTGAAATCATGAAGAAAAGCAAATAAAGTCACTATTGCTACTACACTACATTGACATTACTTCTACAAGCTATATTTATATGAAAAGATGATAAGTAGCCACTTAATCAGATAAGAGGTACCATTTGGTGAAATGCATTTAATACTTGCTTTAAATGAATTGAACAGTTACCTACCATTACAAGGAAAAATAATGAAGACAAAACAAACTTACGAGTTAGACTCAAAGTGTTGCAATGATCATCTTCTCCAAGTTACAATATAAGAAGACTCAAAGCTCAAGAAATAAGAAATGTGTCATATACAGAAAATATTTGTATAAAAAGAAACACTCTATAAATTTATTCTTTCTTGTAAAAAGCTTATTACTCTATATTGATTGCATAACATCTAAGTGAGACAAACACAACATTTATGTAACCTTCATAATCATTGTTATAAGGTTAAGTATGGAAAGACTTGTCTAAAAAAAATACTTGTTTTTTAGCCTAAAGATCAGGCTTGATTGTAAAAGAATATTTGGTTGGTAAGTGATCAAGATTTTCGCAAACCTATCACTTAGCAAGTGAACCAAGTTTCGAAGTAGTATTTAAAGATCGTCCTCAGGGATTTGCGTGTTTAGTAATTCTCTCTCAAATGATTTAAAAGAGAATGAGTTTAAAAATTCAATTGAGTGAAAACAGATTCAAACAACACAATAAAGCAAATGTAGTAAAGACAATGATTAAGAAACAAGGATTGGCTCAGATGCACTTGCTAACTCATAGATCTTCTTAACATAAATGCAATTCTAATTTCATTATTTCCACGTTCATTAAATAATCCAACAAGATTCCTCAAGGTTGAATCCTAAAGTCATTAAGCTCAAAACATGATTCCTCAATGTTTTGAGTCTAACACTTCGCATTAAGAACAATAACTTGAACAATGTGACTAACCAAATCAAGTCTATTCCTAGAACAAGAGGTGATTAGGTGCAAGATTCAGTTCGGGTTTTCGAAAGCGTTTTCCAACTGGATTCAAAAGCCAAAAATCATACAACGGTTGATCAAGCCGATATAAGCGTTAAGCGAAGAATCATTACACAAATAATGAGATCAAAATGCATATATTTAAGAAGAAGAGGAGTTAGTAGTTACATCTAACCAATCCTTAAGAAGTTTAGCCACCCATGGCCATTACAGAATCAAAGAGTGAAAAGAAGAAATTACAAAGCAAAGGATGAAGAAATGGAGTTGATCTTCGTTCCCAAAGGATCCAGCTTCCAAGTCTCTGTTCTTCCTTCGTTCTTCCTTCTTCCCAAGCTTTTCCCCTGTTTTTCTCTGTTAAATTCGTGATCCGTATTCTCCCCCATGTTCCCTTTTATATCAGCTTTAAAACAAGGCCAAAAAGTAACTTTTATTTCCACGGCTACAGCTGCAGATCCACGGCTATAGCTGTGGAGAGTCCTTCAGGGTGAAGAAACCTCCAAGGCTGCAGCTGTGGGTTCACAGCTATAGCTGTGACAACTCCTTCAATCTTAAGGAACTTCCAACGCTCAAGCGGTGAAGCCACAGCTATGGCTGTGAGTCTCTGGAGTTTTTATTGGGTCCTGGGTGCTTCCACGGCTTTAGCTGTGAGTCCACAGCTTTAGCTTCAACTCTCTAGAGCTTCAAAGTACATTTTAGATTTCCACAGCTATAGCTGCAGATCCACAGCTATAGCTCCAACTTTCTGGACCTCTATATTCTTCCCAGACTTCCACAGCTCGAGCTCCAGATCCACAGCTATGGCTGTGGATCTCTGCCTAGCCAAAAATCCTGCAAAAATTGAGGAAATTCCTTAAGATTACTACTACTCCTCTGCTCTTATAGTATAACTTAATTCTATAGATTAAAGGGGTGAAATAACATATATATTATCTACAATTACCCAAAAAGAGTGCCAAAAGTTGAGTGTAAATCATACATAAAAGACACTCAACAGTAAGCTTGAAGAGGCTTGTTGTTTAAAGAATATTTAGATAGTTATTTGAAAAGACAAGTCAAGAAATACTTAGGATTGAGTCATAAGTGGCTTGTTGAAATAATAATTTTATCTTTGTTTCAAGATAGTGAATTTCAATACAGTTGAATTGCAATCTAGACATGATCTCGGTGGTTGAGATGAATCAGTATAAAAATATCTAGTGTTTCATTTGACTATTTTTTCGTGCTTTATCTAACTAATGTTACTACTTTACTATGAAAAACGTACAAGTTTTTTATACATACTATTCAACCTTCATTATACTATTTATCTTTTCTCCATAATGTTGACCATGGGTTGATGATTTTGAGTTGGTAGTGGTTTCATGTGATATTTTGTGGTGTTTTGAGTTGTATGAGGTGTGGAGAAGTAGAATAATTTATATGAATTTCATGTTGTGAAGTTGGGGTTTCCAGGAAAGGTGAACCCAAACCCAAGGTCATTGATCTCTTGTCGTTGAATGCATACATGTTACATTAGAATTGGTTTCCATGTTGTATATGATGTCCATATGAGCTTTTATGGTTTAGATTTGAGTTTGGAGATTATAGGTGATTTTGGGATTGAATAAAAAGGTTTAGAAACCCCAAAATCACAAAAAACAAAGGTGGTCTTTGTCATGAAATGGTTGAGCAGTTTTGAAACGAATGAGCGAAATTAGAGGTGAGAATCATGGGTGTCTCTAGAAGGAATCCACTAAGTGATTTTGAAATGGCTAAGTATATTAGTGCTTTTCAGATTAGACTTTATTGTCTCCATAAAAGTTGTATTCTTGGATGTTAGATTTCCAATGACTTTGGAATTACCTAAAAAGGAGATATAGAACTCCAATTATGATTTTTTAGTAAATAGAGGTCAAATTGTCAACATTTAAGCAAATTATTATGATTTTTGTAATTTTCAGTATAACAGATAATAGAGTTAAAACTTTAATTATTCATAAGAGTTGTAGATAATATTTTTATCTTTTATATGAGATAAGGATGAGCTTGATGCATGTAGTATAACTCTTTGTATGATATTTTATGTGAATGTTATTGTCATTGTATGAAAGTTGATTTTAATAAGTTGTATGTTGATTCATGTTGTATGGTATTTTAAGTTGTCTTATAGTTGAATGAAGATATATGAATTGTATGATGATAATTATGTTGTTGATCAGGTGAAAGATGAATCATGGATATGTTGCATATGCTATGAAGTGCTATAAGTTGAATGATGTAAGTTGGTTGACGTGTAAGTTATAAGAATTATATGATGCTAAGTTGTTGGAGATGTGTGATGAGATGATATGTTGACAATGTAGATGGTTGTATATTGATGTTGTATGTGATAAGGAACATGCTAAAATTTGTGTTTATTATTGTTGTTAATGTGAAAGTTGGTATGCATGATGATAGATAGTTAAGTTGTAAAGATGTAAGTTGATACGATGTTATCTTATTGTATGATTAAGATGTAAAATGAATAATGTTAAAGTTGTAACGATGTATGATAATAAGTTATTAAACTGTTTAGTTGTTAGACATGTAGTTGTGATGCATGTCTACGTTTAGATACATAAAAACTAAAGGAGAGTTAAAGATGTTTTTACAATTTAACATCTCATTATACGAATATACATTATGTTGAATCCTTCAGTAAGTAAGTCAACTTCTGAATGAGTAAGTTGTTTGTTGCCTCCTCTAAGTTCTATGTGGTATTTGTATGTGGAAAAGGTCAAGACATACATGTATAAAGTGACTACAATATAGGGGCAAGGTCAAGTTATATTGATACAAGTGACTAACCGAGTAAATTACAAAGTCAAGGACTTGGTCCCTAATCAAGTATTGAAGGGTAGTTAGTGGGTTAATTCCATATGAAACTTAATTAATGTTGCAAGCTAATGTCGTGGAAGACCTATATCTAAAATATTATTCTACCTTGACTTATTATCATACTTTTTAGTTTAAATGGTGAAACCTAAGAAATCAATCGAACTTATGATAATCATTGTTTCTAGTCTTGTGTTAGCCACTACTTTTGGCCTTAGTATCAATTATTATTTTATGGTATTATACCAACTATTGTGATTCGGTAAGGTTAAACCCTAAACCCTTAAACTACTTAAACTGCTCACCTTAGTTGTAGGAGATCTTCGTGGTTGATATGTGTGACGACACATGATCAGTTGTATACATTGTTATGTTGAATGTGTTAAGTGGATTGAAGTTGTATGTATGGTTGTATTTCTCTAGTTGTTTGTGTTGCTTGTTCCATATGTGAGTTATATATGTGTGTATAGATGTTGTTAAGCTAAAGGTGCAAAGGTGTATGAGTTGTTATATGTTGAACAATGTAAACATAATATTGTATGAAGATGATGTATTGTTTGATAACTGTGATGAAATTAACTAAATGAGTGCTTTGATACTTTAAGTTGTATGATAAGACGTGATGATATGATGTAATGAATGATGTTCCTTTTAAACTATTTATGTTGCATACTATTGTATGATGTTGCTTTTGTATCACAAACTTACTCGAGATGTCGTTACCCCAAGGTAATTAGATCTTGTATAGACGTTTAACCAACGACTAAGTTTATTTTGTATACAATAATTACTTCTTTTTCATAAAGTATGCATATCTGTTCAAGAATAATTGTTTTATTTCTTACATGTATGATTGTTTGCATGATATTTACCTACTTGTTTCATGATATCCTATACAAATATTTGATGTTTGCACTTTCATTTAGTTGAAGTTTGATTGTAATAAGTGTAGTGACTAGAAGAATCGTTACACATTACTCAAATGTCATTAATTAACCTGTCACACAAAATTCTTTTGGTAATATCATTAGTAAAAATATCACACTATACCAACTAAGACTATTACTACAAAATTGTATTAATATGTCATTATTATCACACTATACCAACTAAGACTATTACTACAAAATTGTATTAATATGTCATTATTAATTATACTATCAGTGACCAACTAATCATGAGAAACTAAAATAATATTTTTTGGAATCACATAAACTAAAATAAAAAAATAATAATAATAATTTAAGAGACTAAAATAATAATTTTTAATTTTAAGAACTAAAAACACGTTTTAATTTTGAAGAATCAAAAAAATACACACGAAATTAAAATAATATTTTTTAAAAATTATATAGATTAAAATTATAAATTTAAAATTTGGAATAAAAAACAATTATCTTAAATTTAAAACACTAAAAATATAATTAAAATATGTGCTTAAATTAACCTCAATCATAAATGTATATCAAAATTCAAAAATAAGTTTAAATTGTTTCACAAAAAATGTGGGTGAAAATGTACGTTAACCTATATTTCTGACATCCAATCAAACATAAGTTTAAACTACTAAAGTAAGGTGATGTCAAAAATATTTAATGTCTTTGGGTAAATTATGTTTAAGATCAAGTATGATATAGTTTACAAATTCTTAATTTTTTACTTTATAAGTTGTAAAATTATTTATTGAGATTCATATATTTAAATAATTATAATATGTATAATATACAATTTTTTTGTTTCATTCCTGAAGTATCCACCACTTATAGTGGTGACTAATCTCCTCGCTACGTTGGAGACACCTCAAAGGGTGGGATAGCTGACCCCAAGATTTAACACGGCGCATACACAAGGCAAGATTCGAATCTCTGACCTTGATTAAGCGTGGATCAACCCCTACCACTGAACCACACGTTTGAAGTTTTTTTTTAAAATATACAATTAGTCTTATATATATATATATATATATATATATATATATTATCTAAAGTAATTTTAATTTTAAAAATTTTATTTTAGTAATAGTAAATTATGAATAATATTTTATGAGTAATGTTAATCTTAAGCTATTTTATAATTGATGTATGTATTTAGAAAATAATATTTTTTCATGTAACTTAAAACTCTCCAGGGATTATGAATTCTTTTCATTCACATTTATTCCAATATCTTTAATTTTTAATAAATTAAATTTCACTTCTACTAAAAGTAATTAAATTAGAGAGGGAACAAATTTTGTGTTAAAAAATCAATGAAATCTAATCCAGTTAATTAAATAAGATGTGTGATATTATTTTGTGATATTATTTTAATATCTTAAAACAAAGTTTTATAAGCAAGTGCATTAGTGTGCGATTTCGAATCCTATAAATAAAAAATAATTTTATATTAAAAAATTTGTCACAAAATATATTAGTAATAATTTTATGACGAACACAAATTCTTACTTGAAAAAGAATGTCACAATTCACGAACCCGGTGAAATTAAGTCCGTCATAACTTTTGCATGAAATATTTCTATCACAAATTGAAAATTCTAAATGAATAATATCGATAGGAACAAAATCATTGCAAAAAGGAAGATTTTTCATCTCGTATATAAATTAGAACAAACATATTTTTAGATTAAAACTGAATTTTTAAAATGTTAGAAAAACACAAAACATATAATTTTACTTTAAAACATGGTGGAGATTTTTTATTGATTGAAAATGTTTTTTTTGTTATATTAGTAATAATTCATAAAATTAAATTTTAATGAGAGAAGAAGTATCACTCTTTGTCCATAATGTAATATAGTGTATGCAATTACAATGCAAGCAGTACAGAACTTGCATGAACATAATTTGTTTTGTTAATCAAGTTTGTTTGTTTTGTTCTCTCACAATTAGCATGTCATTGTCCTTTAGTATCATGATTTCCATTTGGTCTGTCTCCAAAAATCAAACACTCTCATAAATGATCCTCCTCTTTAGTCTTTACACACACACTCACACCCAATCCCTCACTTGAGCCACGTGCAGCGACGCTGCGTTTCACCCCACTCCGCACGTGGCACTATTCCACAACCGATGCTCTAAATCATTCACCTACTCCTCTCACCACAGAACAGAATCCTCAATTCCATTTCCCACACAAACACTTGAATAACAAACAACACACCAAATTAACACATTCATTTTTAACTTCACTTCACATCACAATCTCATGCCAAATCAAAACCATGTCTGACCCTTCCACCACCCCATTGCCACCTCCGCCGCTCTTGCCCTCTCCCCACCACCTCATCCAGGGCGGCGCAACCGCATCCTCCTCCTCCTCCCTCGCCAGAGAGTACCGCAAGGGAAACTGGACCATCCAAGAGACGCTCATCCTCATCACCGCCAAGAAACTCGACGACGAGCGCAGACTCAAAACCTCACACGACCCCACCAGAGCTGCATGTTCCACCACCGCCAGAACCAGCGGCGAACTACGGTGGAAGTGGGTAGAGAACTATTGCTGGAGCCACGGTTGCTTGAGAAGCCAGAACCAATGCAACGATAAATGGGACAACCTCCTCCGCGATTACAAAAAGGTTCGCGACTACGAATTCAAACAACAACAATCCAACGAAAAACACTTCCCTTCTTATTGGAACCTCAACAAACAACAACGTAAGGAACACAATCTCCCCTCCAACATGGTCTTTGATGTCTACCAAGCCATCACCGAAGTCCTTCAAAGAAAACAAACCCAACCACAAGCCCAAACTCAAAGACAACCTGCGGTTACATTAGTTACTTCCTCACCTCTTCAAACACTGCCACCACCTCCACCTCCACCTCCACCTCCGCCTCCGCCGCCACCACCACCACCTCCTCCGCCGGTTAGTTCCGCCACGCAGGCAGTTTCAGGTATGCAATGTGCGACACAGCTCACGCACACTCTCGACACTTTTTTTTTTTTTTTTTCGAACAATTTTTGGATGTTGTGTTGTGTGTGGGTTATCGGTCAAACTTGCAGGGTCTGTAACCCCCTGCCACACTTAATGGGACCCATTTTTTTGCCATCTTTTTTTTACGATACGGTAGAACGAGTTCCATGGTATTTTAAATACGTCTGAGGGATTTCTGACCGTTTGATCTGCATCGAGTGGTGCATGAGGGAGACTGTGCTACTGAGGTGCTATTGGTGGCATCTTACACCACGTTGCTCCACTGCACAAAGATTCTGCTCCCCATTAAAAAACTCGGAGAAAATGTTCTCGCTTTCAATTCATTTTTTTTCTTTTAGTTTCTAATAATTTTTAAATAAAAAATAAAGGGCACTACAGTACAATCATGCAGACCGGTGTGTGAAAGGGTACCACCTCATGATTGTCATGGATTTTGTGGGCTGTCCAAGAAAATAGATTCTAACTTGCTTAATCCCTCTGGGTGTAATCATTAACATAATCCTTAATCCTTAATAATATCAAAAGCTCAAATCTTACTTCTAATTTAAAATTTAAAAAAAAATGTTTCTTACTTTTCATTTTCCACGTACCCAATGCATTCACCAGTACCCTCTCATGCAAATTAAATACTCATTAATTCCATCCTCACTTTCTATAAGGGGTATCTTTTTTTATTTGTTTGGAATCACTGGTCATTTTTAATTTCATGCATATGGTTAATTATAACTTAAGCTAATATCCTTAGTCCTTATCACATAGGAGTACCATTATATTTGTATTATTTCACAAAATATATACGTAGCTCTAATAATGCTGTTGCCAGTTTTGTGATTATATTGTGGAACATGCATGTTTGATTGTAGAGAGGTCGGAATCATCTGGCACTGAGCACAGTGAGGATGATGATGGGTCGGAATCTAAACGAAGGAAAGTAAAGAATCTTGGTTCAAGCATAATGCGAAGTGCATCGGTGCTGGCACGAGCTCTAAGGAGTTGTGAGGAGAAGAAGGAGAAACGACACCGTGAACTGATCGAACTTGAACAAAGGCGGATTCAGATGGAGGAGGCTCGCAACGAGGTTCACCGGCAAGGCATCGCCACCCTTGTGGCCGCCGTGACAAACCTTTCCGGTGCCATTCAGTCACTCATTAATTCTGAACGCCATGGCCAAAGATAATCAATTAATATGCAAGATAAAATAATAATATATATATGCTTCCTAGCTAGCTAGTTTATTATATTATTATTATTATTATGTGATTGATCAGAAAATCATATAATTGATATTCATCGGTCATTCTTTACCTCTTAAAATTCAATTGTTGTTTAATATTGTTGAGTCAATTTCGTCACCAATTGATATATGTTAGCAGCTGATATGTGATTGATCATCCGTGTATGTTCCATTCTTTGATGGAGATCAAACCGAGCCCTAACATTAATTGTTTATTGAGACATTGTTGATCTGGTAATTGTTATTATGTATATAATTGAATTGAATTGTTGTCTTACATTTGTTTCTTCATCTTATTATAGAAACTCGTATGTGCTGTTTGACTGATTTGAAATGCTGAACATGCCACAAGTTTTAGACATGAAGTTATTGTTTGTGTTGTTTTTACCCTTTTGGTGTCATCCTAACTCAAAACCCCAAACTTTTCACACCTAATTTCTATATTCATCTTAGTCTTTAGTTATGAGAATAGGATAATAACTAACTCAAATTTAAAAAACTAGTTTGTAAAATAAAATTTATATATTATATTTTGATCATATAATTAGTTAATATGTTTTTAACACATTTCATTTATATGAGAATTACATTAATACTATAAATAAAGGTAAAAGTTGTTTTTTATTTATATATATTATCGATGGATGTGAGATTTATGATATTTAATGAGTTTAGTTTTTCATATTTTTGTTTCAAGTTAATTAAATTAGTGTATTTTAAAAGTGGTGTTCCATTGATTTGATTAGAAGGGAATTGAAAAGGAAGTTACATGACAATGGTGAGTGAAAAGGGTTAGTGATGGGGATTGTTGGGGAAAGAGGGTTAATGAGGGTATGTTTGGGAATGGAGAGGGGAGGGGGGGAAGGGGTTGCTGACAAGTGTGGCAGAGGGCAGAGAGTGCTGATCCATTCTAACACTAGGGACAGTCAAAGGGTCTGAGTCAAATTTCTTTTGACCACATAGGACACGAACCCCACCACTTTGCCTTGTGTACCCTTTCTCTTGCACTCATATACGCCAAAACCATGATAGAGTCTCCTCAATGATAGACTGAATTTCCCAAAATGCCCCTTCTCGTCCCATCTCTCTCTTCCTGCCTAGTACAGTCTACAGACTGCCTTTCCAGGCATCTTTAACTCGCCAATCCTACCACTTTATCACCGACGCAACCCTTCTCCTAATTGCCTAACGCACCCCCCTCCCTTCCCCTTTCACCTCCATTAATAACTAACATTAGGCCTTTTTGTCTTCTTCTGCTGCCTAACACCATGCACTCATTCTTTGCCTCTCTAACTTACATTTATATGTTTTAAGTACCATTCTTTTAAAATAATTTTCGTAAAATAATATACTAATATGATGTTGTTTTAACTGTTTCTTATAAATATTGGAAAGGCAGGGGAAAAATAAATTGTATATAATATGATCTTTTATTGTTATTGATAGAATAATAAATAAACACAAAACAATTCATATTTTTTTTAAGGAAACAGTTTTGAAGATCTAGTACTTTTCATAGAAGTGCCGTGAAAGGTTGAAAACGATGAAGATAATGACTTGGCTATTATGTTATGTAGTTTGGCTGGTGCATTATTAGCTATATATATTTTGTATTTTTTAAAAGGGTGAAATATATTTTTATTCTAATTTTTTTTAAGTTTGATCTGAATCCTTCAAAAAAAAAAATATATTCTATTTTAATCTTTTTAATTCTAAATATATTTATTTTTGATCATCAAAATAGTTTACATAGTGTTTTATAATTATCATTAAATGTATTTAAATCATTTTAAGGATCAAAATACATTCACTTTTTTTCATTGGCAACTCACTGAGGAAGGAACACATAGTAAGAGTATAGGTTATTTAAAGTTTGTATGGAAAACTTCTCCATAAGCATTTTTATAAAAGAGAAAAATATAAATATAAATAAATAGATTTTTATAAATTAAAATTAAGTTATGGATAAATTAAAAAATAAAATTTTAAAAAAATTAATGTGATAAATTTTTACAAATTAGTTTATGCATAAATTAATTTTAATTTATAAAGAAATTCATTTAAACATATACTCAATTCACTCTATTATGGACTATTTAACACTTTTATTATTTTAAAAAATTTAAAAGTAAGTAAGATAAATTAACAAAACAAAAATAACAAATAAGAATTTAATTTCAAAAAAAAAAATGTCATGTCATAAATAATTACAAGAAGACAATTATAAAAACTTAAACTAAAACAAAGACGCAAAATAAACAGATTAAAATAAATAATTCACTCCATTTAGCACCAAAGTTATGTGAAATAGAAGTTAAGTCGAATGAGTTTTAAAATTCGAAAACAGAGTAAAATAAACATGCACATTGATGTACCACAAGTGCAAGATAGTTTTTTTTTTTTTTTTTAACTTTTTGATATAGTCTAAAAGATAATATCATGTTCACTAAATGATTACCAAACTATTTGTAATATCTAAATTTTAATTAATTCTTTTTTTTACATTAATCAATTTTCTATATTAAGAAAGAAAGAATAACATGAAATTAAAAGAGAAAATTTTAAACAAACAATAATTGAATATAAGTTTCAAAATTAGAGAGATTTCTAGATTTAGGGTTCACCACAATTGAAATTGATAGATTTTTGATATAGTTATTTTTATTGAATTAGACATTTTACTTTTAGGAGTAAATTATCCTAATCTAACAATTCATCATGGAAATATTCTTATTTTCGTGGTAAATAAATATAATTAAATTTATTAAAATTTGTGATAATTAAAAAAACTTTAAAAGGCTAAATTTTTTTATTAAGTATCTAATAAGGAGTTCGACCTCTAGTAACCTTTCAATTCTTTGGTTGACATTCATTAAAATCTTGCGAATAGGAAATCATCACACATTCACACTAAGGAAATCATCACACATTCACACTAATGAACATGAAGAAACATCTAAAAATTGAATTAAAATATATCTGACATTAACAAAAGATGCCAAATAAAAAAAAATAGTCCTTTATTGAGCTACGCTATCCCTAAAAATAAGAAACTACTGACTCACTGTGAGTTTACAAATGATAATCATGGTATTGTTACGTGAAACCTTCGATCCAAGAATTATAAGAAAAATAGAGAGAGGGATAAGAAAACTTCAACATATAATCTATGATATCTGTAACTTGGATGTTTAGGATTACTTTTCACCTTGCTCAATCACAATCTTCAACATTTGCTTTTGTCTCTAAGCTCAATTCAACTCCAAGAACAAGACAGTTCTCTGAGAAAAAAAAATACTTATAGAAGAAAAATCAATCAATATTTTGTACCTATAATATAACTTGTAATATGATTATTTAAAAAGTAAGTATTTAGTAGGTAAAATGAAATTTTCAGTTGAATATTATGTGAGCATAGATTCGATTAAGTTACTGACAAGTACTCTAATACCCAAGACAGTGTTAGTATGAGGTTATAAGAGTGATTTATTTTATTTATTTATTTGTTAAAGAAACAATGAAAAATTGAAGAAAAAAAAAACATATTGGGTGTTGCTTATTCTTACTTATATAGTTTCTTTGATATCTGTGTCATTTGCGAAAAGTGCATTCTTATGAAATTCTGTTAGGTTAAACATTTTTTTTTATATAATATAAAGGGGCTAAAAGCCAAAAAAAAAATTAATAACAACAATTTGCTGCAAAAATGTTTTTTATTTTATTTTTTGTAGAATGTGAAGATTTGAAAAAGGCAGATGATAAACACACCTCCACTCTCGTATAAACACACCCCCTTTTTTTAAAAAAAATTATAAAATGTCTAAATTACCCTTTAAAAAAAATGAAATTCCTAAATTTACACCTCTCTTCCCCACACCCCCCTTCCCCGCACCCCACACCCCACACCCCTCTTCTTCCCAAAGCCTCTTTCCGCTCAATGTCATCAAGCAACTTTCAAGAGTAATATGAATATACTTTTACAGTCATTCTGAATAGAAAAAAAAAGACTAGCCCCACTATAACCAGCATAAGAAAAGGCTTTTTTCCGGTGAAGGATTTGACTCTGGTAAGTATCTTTTATACTAAAGCTTCTTTACAATGATTTTCTTTTATATAAGTGCTCGAGTTAGGGTTGTTGACTCGGAATTTGAAGTATACGATCCATTCCTGGTCGATTTCTTTTCAAAACTTTAGTCTGGAACGGCACCAGAACGGGCCCTTCTGCAAGAAGAACGGTCCGTTCTGCATGAAGAACGGCCCGTTCTGCTTGCAGTACGAGCCGTACTGAAAGCAGTACAGGCCGTTCTGCTTGCAGCACGGGCCGTTCTGTTGCAGTACAGGCCATTGCGTCACTTTTAAAATGGCTACCTTATGACTGATTTTAAGTTGTTGGTTCCAAATAAGGATGGCAAGTGGAGAATGTGTTGTGATAGTAGAGCCATCAACAACATCACTGTGAAGTATAGACATCCCATCCCTAGGCTTGATGACATGTTAGATGAGCTTCATGGAGCCATCATATTTTCTAAAGTTGATCTTAAAAGCGGATACAATCAAATTAGAATAAAAGAAGGAGATGAATGGAAAACCGCTTTCAAGACCAAGTTTGGATTATATGAGTGGTTAGTGATGCCCTTTGGGCTCACCAATGCTCCTAGTACATTCATGCGTCTCATGAATCATGTCCTTAGGGATTGTATAGGTAGATTTGTCGTAGTTTATTTTGATGACATTCTCATATATAGTAGGAGCCTAAGTGATCACATAGGACACTTAAGGCAAGTTCCCAATTTTCATCCCTAAGTTATCCAATATTAGAGGGGAAGAAAAAAGAGAGAAATATTACAAAATTTATAAATAAAATAATAATGTAAGCAAGGAAGTACTTAGGTAAAAGGCATAGCTGGATATTCAATAAGATAATTAAGGTAAATGCCTAGAGCTCTTAAATTTATAAGGCTTCCAAATTTTTTTAATAGTAGTATTATTGATTTAAATTAATTTTTAAAAATAATAATATTTGAGATAAGGCCCAATATTTTATAAGATACATATCTTATATTTTTCTTATTATTAAAATTACTTAAAAGACCACAATCCATTTATTAGTTTTTGTAAATAAAAAGCTACTCAACACTCAACAGTGACTACTACTTACTTTTATCTTTTACAGATGACAAATTTTTAACCTCTTTGTTTCCTCTTTAGTCTAACTCTTTCT